TGCGCCGATGAAGGGTTGCAGCTGGCGCACTTCGCAGACGGCGCTCGTTCTTGTCAACCGGTACATATTCAGCAAATGGTCCTGGTATGCACCTATGTTGGAACCCATTAGTCAGGTAACACAGGAGATTGACAAAATGCAGGTAACCATTCTTTGTCTTATGCTCAAGTTGTACCTACACCAGAACTTGCCTGAGCAAACAGCCGTACTCCTGCACAGGGTCCGACGACGAGCCACTTTGCAGCTGCTTAAGATTTGTCAGCATCAACAGTGGGGATATCTTTGCTGGGTTCGTAAGTGGACGTATGCTGGGCATGTACTGCGGCGCACAGAGTCCTCGCTTGAACAAGCTGCCTTGCTAGCAGCGTGTCCGCACTCGCTGCGGCAAGCTGTGCCCGCGCCGTGGTTTAGCATGTGGACGTTCATAGTGTCTTCTTGCCTGGCGCTTGATTGGATTCAGGAAGGGAGGCCCGAACTTTCAGTATTGAAGGAGCTCGCAGCGCACAAAGCTCAGTGGAACGACCAAACACAAACGATTGCAAAGCAGTTCACCTTGAAACTGGGATATTTTTCGCCTCTTGTCTGGTGTACTTGGAGGGCTGGGTTACAGGCTGCTGAACAGGTCGAATGGTTTCAGTTCGCTTTCTTGACGTCCACTCCTGACGGTCCGCTCTTGGTGTGGCTGCATAAGACTGATGGGCCTTGCTTCGTGCGGGCCGAGGACCTAGCCACTGCTATACACTGGGTGTTGATGACAAAACATTGCTTCACTCTTGAAATCAGTGTCCAGCAGACCTGGTCGGACGTTGTTGTGACTCAGCTCCCGGACCTCACGAGAGGGTGTTATCGTGATCATGGTGTTGTTCTGTGTTGGTCGGCTTTCCCTGACTCGTGGTCACAGAGGATTCAGAGGTTTGTTTCACTTCAGAGATGAGTTTTGATTTTCGTGATCCTTGGCAATACGTCGGAGGGTCATATATTCTGGCAGCCAGCAAGCCCAGTGTCAAAAAGGGCCTAAAGTTTAGGGTTTATCGACATTCGGTGGTCGTTTCTTGGAGTGCTTGCCCTTCGGAGTGGAATGATGCGGTGTTACGGTTTTCGGGCCTCAGCTGAAGAGCAGCGGAGGGCAGTGCTGGCAGTCATCAAGTCCGGTTTCAAAAGGGTTTAGGGTTTAGGGTTTGGTTTAGGGTTTAGGGTTTCGAGGGCTTGCAAGCGCATGGCCTTTTGAATCGACGAAGACGTTCCCATGGGTTGGAGATCAGAAGTACACGGACGAATACTGAGCCGAAATACACATGCACGTGTCATTTTTCCAATCAAAACAGGATATACATGGATAAGACTGTTGTTGAAATATGGTACGAGAACAGTGCATGGCACAAGACAGACAATAGAGCAAAATGTCGATGTCAAATTTCAGAGCCGTTTTTCAGGCGACGGCCTTATTCTACTGCTTCCGCGCTCTCTGCGATTCCGGACGCCGGGCTGCCCGCAGCAGAAGTGGTTTCCGAAAATTAGGGGTACCTGATTTTGGGGTCCTTATAATAAGGGTCCTACTATTTAGGGTACTATATCAGGGTCCCCCATTTTCGGAAGCTCCCAAGTTGTTTTAACTCTCTGTTTGAGCGTGCCTTAGATGACTACGCGCCACAGTAGGACTTTGGCATGTCTGAGGGCCTGCAGAGGTATCTATTCATGGGTACGTTTGCCGTTAAACTACAATGCAGAAGTCCTCAGCACAGCGCTGCTGCAAGCATCGTTAAGATGTGAGGACAGTCAGTTGAGTAATTTTCAGTTGTCGTCTGATGTCTAAGGTCGAGACGAGGCTCTTGGCACGCTGTGTCTCCCTCAAAGATTCCTGTTCTTGCTCCTGTCAACGGCATGCACGGGGCGGGGTATGATTCGAGGACATAAATTTCAATACGGGACATGCTTCAACATGATTTTTAAATGTATGTAAAGCCTAGTACACTGACGGAGATGGTCTGCTGGACAACAGGCTGCTGGTGATTCAGGATGTCGGTTGCCGATTTGAAGTGTTCAGGGGGTGCTGAGCACTTGCTGAGCACGAGCCCTACAGTATTGAGTGGATGGTAATCGGCTTCCAGTACGGCTGTCTTCGTGACAAATACAGATGACTGGCTGAGTTTGTCAGTGTCCTGTTGTCTCGTCTTGTCTTAAAACCTCGCCTGACGCCGTCCAGTGCGAGTCTTACCAGACATGATGCGGAACATAAAGTTGATGTTCTCCTTACGGTTAATAATATCAGCATTGTCATGTTTAGCATGGCTCTCATCATGGCTACGACTGTTAAATCGAGGAGTGCACCAAGGGTGACAAGCCATTATCATTGTTATCATGATTGGGGCTGGAAGCCATATTATGATGGTCAAACTTGTTGTCATTTCATAAGTACTAGTATGTATGCATGTATGTAGGCATGTATGTATGTGTGTATGAATTGTATTTGATATACATACTGTACAAACTAAGCAATATCAACTACGTACTATGCAGCAATATGTGCGACCACCCTATAACCTGTTGAGGTTTAGTATACCGACCTGTACATGTATATGTGCTGTGCAACGTATATTATGCAGTGTTTTGTAAGGTTCACACGGCAAACAAAAACACCGTACACAACATGTCGTGGATAGTAGGTAGTCTGCGCAGTTAGAAGTTAACAGCTAGTGGGGTTTATTGGTAGTCGCTTTTGCGCCAGCAGGTTGCTGTGGGACTCCTCTTCTGTATTGTTATGATTGTTACTGTTACTGATTTTGTGATTGTTATAACCCGAAGTAGTAGTAGTAGTAGTAGTAGTAGCAGTAGCAGTAGCAGTAGTAGTAGTAGTAGTAGTAGTAGTAGTAACTAGTAGTAGTAGTAGCAGACAGCCGGCGCAACAGTGGCACCAGCAGCAGAAGCCGTATGTATATATGTATATATGTATATATGTACACATACATACATATATACAGTGGTATGTGCAGATGCCTGCGTGTGTATCTGTATATGAGTGCATGAGCAGATAAGAGCAGCAAAGGCACCAGGCCCTTGGCCTGTACTGGGACATCGCCGACTCGTGTGGACCGCAGCTTCTGTCTTTTCAGGGCTTTTGGTGGCGTGTATTTATATATATATATATATATATATATATGTGGCTTGGGGCCTAGGGTTTAGGCTCAAGCAAACTTGATCGTGGGCGCTGTGAAGGCAACGTCAAACATCTTTCGGTAATCAGGTTTTGTGCGGCTTAGGGGCTGAAGGCTTGAGTCCCGGCAGGAAAAAAGGCAAAGGGGTTCGTGCAGAACAGATTTAGACAGCCACCTAGGTCCCTGGAAGACCTTCGATTACATTGGGGTCTTGAATGCTCTGCGCTTGAACTACGACTGTTCTTCCAACAATAGCTTGTTGCCAAAGGTAGCCTAGGTTCCCGGTCCCCACTTTCATGTTTCTCTCGGCCTCCTCTTCATCCCCGGTGCACATGTGGTGCTGCGCCTGTGGTGGGACTCAAGTGAGCTTCCTGAACGACCAGGTCTGGAGCCATGAAGTGCTTGTATGCCTTGGCCGGGAGCTCAATCTGCTCTGTACACTGTGTCGGGTCGAGAGGCATTACAAATGCCACGATTTGCGAGGCTCAAGTCCATCTGGCGGCGGGGGATGCAGCAGTCCGCACGGCAGCAGTTTCCGTAATTAAGTACTGTGGGTGTTTTCTGCCCCCCTCTCTCTCTCGCCTCCCGCCTTCCGAGTCGCATTGGAGCCCCTGGAGTGCCAGGCATCCTTGCAGGCCCTGGCGGAAGTCCTGAGCATGGTGAAGCGCTACAGGCGGAACCAGCGCATGGAGGACCGCGGAGCCGTAGCAGCACAAGCGCAGGCGGCAGATGCTCGTAGAACTCAGGCTTCCGTGCTGCAGCTTGCAGCCAAAGCCATGCTTGCTATGCCAGAGAAGGGCAAGGCATGGATGCACTACCACAACGTTGGTTGAAGCCGCGAGTCCTTCGTAGTGAGTGCTTCCAGGCAAGTGCTTTGGCGCAGCTTTCAAATGCTTAGAGCCATTGTTTAGCGGTCGGCAGTCTGAAGTTTCAGGAGGACTGCATCACATGCGGAACTGGCAGCAAGGTAGTTCGAATCAATCTTGTTAGCTTTCTTGTCATGATACTCATAGGTCCCGGCTCATAGTTGGCAACAGCATTGCGACTTACTGCTTCTTGGTGCTCCCGAGCATGGCCCCAAAGCTTCCGCGAGCACATGGACGACAAGGTCTGGGTTCGCAAACGAATTTTGGACTGGCGGTTGCGAGATGGAAGAAGGGTCACAAAATGACAAATGGACACACCATTTCAAGTAAGCATACGCTCCATACCCCATGTGACAGCGCGCAGAATGAGACAAACAGATCTCATGTGGAGGAGACTTCTCCAGCAGAGGCTGCATCTGGTGGCCAGGCCGCTCAATGCAGAAGTCGACACTGTAAAACCTGCCCCACTGGCATCGTTCGGCAGGCACCAAAGAAAGGCAAGGGCAAAGGCCCTGGCAAAGGCCCTCCGCCGGCCAAAGGCGCCGGCAAAGCCAAAGAGGCCGATTTACCAACAAATAAATCACATAGCCGCAGTCTATGTAGTGAAGTGCAGAACACTGCAATATATTTCCATCTGGTACAGTTAAATACAATATGTAAGAAAGCGTAATACCGTGCCAGGCATGGTAGTCACTGCTCTATAGAAAGTATTATTGGCCCAGGCGCGAGCCAGTGGAACGATAATCTTGTGCCTGCGCAGGCATCCTCACCATTGCCGTCGTGGCAAAAGCCCGACATCTCGGCAGAATGGTGCCTTTCGCAGCAGTCAAGCAAAGTCTTGCCGTTGTGCTTTCAGAATCGTGTAAGAAGCTTCCATCTGAACTGCAGGCAGCCCGAGCGCGTGGGTCTCCTATCTCCGAGTGTCAGCGGTACACATTGATGCGAACGGAGTTTGGGGGGAGAAGCCGAAGCAGTGGCTAAGATGGTCAACTGGCAGCCCATTCGTCAGACGAGCCGAATTCAGGGCTCCGTGCTGTGCTCGGCTGGGGGATGGGACTAACAACTGCTGAAGTCGACTTGTGCAGCCTGTTGTGGTACTGAGCTTGAGAGGGGTTGGCATCACAGACTGATGAAGCTCGTGACGCGTCCCATCAAGGTGTGGCAGCAGGTCCACGACTCTTTGCAGGGCGGTGCTGCAACCTGAGCCTCGCGACTCCAAGTGTGCCACGTGGCGGTCTTGTTCGCGCGGTTTTCAGGCCGCCCAACTCCCGGAAGACCTGCTGGGGCGCTTCATGCGCAAGGCATCTGAGGCGCGGGGAACCCGCACTGCAAGCACCATCGGCCCGTGTCTCACTTGGAATTGTGCTTTGCATTTCAGGTGCCGAAGAAGAGCCTTGAGCAGAGCCCTGGACTTTTTGAGTCCCTTAGGCCGAGATTCAGTTTGCTCTGAGATCAGGAAGAAGTCTGCCGGAACCAAAAGGCTGCTTCCCTCCAAGCAAGGTTTAGTCAAGAGCTCAGCTTTGTGCCGAGACTGGTAAAGAGGAATTGCACAGTTTAGAACTTTCGAGGTTGCTGACATCCACCATGCCCTCTTGACGAGGAAGGCCGGAGCAACGGATCTTGTGGAGAGAGTTTTCCACTAGCACGACATGTCAAGAAGCCACCACGTGCTCCAGTGACAGGGCATTCGAAATGTCCGTGACCTCAAGTGGATCATTGGGCCGATGGATGGCGAAGCGGAAACGCAGGCCATGCAATCCGGGCTGTGCGGAAGACAGCGTCGAACGAGAACTAATTATGGGTAAATCAGCAGATTGCCCAGGAGCTTTGTCCAGGTACACAGGGCATGCATGCTAGAAGATGTTGCAGGGGCAACGGCTTAGCACAATCGAAGCAGGTCACGCATTCCCTTGCAAGCGCTCAACACCCCTGCGCAGGAGGACGATGTGGAGGATGCTCTATCGGAGGACAGGTGTGCAGCTGCTTGTGGCCCCTATCCGCAGCCACGATATCCGGGGCTTTCCGTCTTTCTGATTCTGGATGCGTGCAGCTTATCGTCACTAGCACAAGACTTTCGGTAGACTGTCACAACCAGACAGGCGGACGGCCGGGCACTCTCTTTCTTAAGCTTCCAGCAAGCCTACACTGCCTACACCCTTTTAGAGTATATCGTAAATTTTACTGCTGCTGTTATGGAAAGTTTCTATACTATAAGATGGTTTTTACCGAACAGTATATAAGATAACGGTCCTCAGCCTTGCTATCTTCAACTTTGTGCAGACGTCGTCTCTTGGAGCCATGGTGGCTTCGAAGCCTTCGGGGCGACTCAGGAGACTGGCATTGCTAGTAGGGCTCGGTTTGCTCGGCTCGCTGCCACTCAGCGATGTCAGAAATGTGCCACGGCACAGTGGCACCATCGCATCTTGCTTGGAACAGTCTTCAGCTGTTTGCCGGCAGCCCTTGAAGACGTCGATTTCGGTTATGAGTGTCAAATTTGTTGACAAGAGGTATACTTATGACAAGTTATCAAGTATTGCTTGACAGCATATGTTCTCCGCTTATTCAAGTCATCAAGTTGGGGGTTTTACCTAAACCCCGAAACCCCAAAAACATGATCATGAGAATTTGTCATGCTTCCAAGGGCCATTCAGTGTGATGACAAGGTAGTTGCCAGGTCCGCCCGGTGGCTGGAGTAGATGTTTGCTACCGGTGTCCACCGTTGCGCTGAAGCCTACTCCTGAGCTAAGGCAAAGGGTTGCTGGTAGGTCCCGGCTGGGGGCTTGGTAGATTGTGGCACCGCTCCGTACACAATTAGGGACAGACGAAAGCTGTCAGCCTGGTGCTGCTTGCCGGCCTCGGCAAGTTCTTACAGTGGAAACCTTAAGCCCGGAGGGAGCTCTTCACGGCGCCGGGCTTGCCGGAGAGCTAAGGCCTTTGTCTCTGGCCGCCTGGGAAGCTGCGCGAGCCCAAAGTTGCTTTCGCCAGCTCGTCCTCGGACTGCCTGCCACACCTCTGCGGAGTCTCCAAAGCAGATTCTCGTCTAAGCTTGGAGCTTTTGGAGTCTTTGGCTGAGACTTCGGCTTTGTAGGGTCTTCAAGCGAAGCTTTGGCAATGGCCCTGATAAGCAAGCTTCATTCTTGCCGCAGGAGCGCAGATTCAAAGGGCCAGGGGCGTGTCAAAGTCACACCTCTCTGGGTACTCAAAATCACTCAAATGCTTCTCTTTGGCGCAAATGTATGCTTGACTCGATTCATCACCGTCTATTACCACGACCTGGGCTTAAGCCGCAAGGTGATGGGCTTGCTGTTGGTGATGGTTCCAATGATGGCCTTTGTCGGAGGATTCTTTTGGTCTTCGATCGTGGACCGATCGGGTTCCTACCGAAGAATACTCACCTTTACAAGCTCGCTCGGCATAGCAACAGTCTTTTCCTACATGCTACCGGCAGTCGGCCGAAGCCTTCCCCTACTGGTGCTGGTCACGCTGCTGCAAGGATTCGTGACGGCCCCGGCCGGTCCCATTGTGGATGGTCTGTGCCTGAAGGTGTTGGCCCAGAGGCGCTATGGTAAAGGAATTAACAAAACGCCCAAAGACGTGTCCATGGCTTGTCCATGTAAAAACCGGTTTCCGGGCAACCCTGGAGGTCGGAAGAAGGATCCTCGGAGGCCTACGGAGATCAACGACTCTGGAGTGCTGTCGGCTGGGGGGCTATGGCCTTGATTGCCGGAAAGCTGATCGACATTTTCGGAACCAATGCGATCTTCCTCTCTTACGGCATCTTGGTCGGCCTGAACGTCCTCGTGGTGCAGCTTTTCGTCCAGGATATGCCTGCGGGAGTGGGAGGGCATCAAGGCAGCAGCGGAACCAAGATGTCCACGCGTGAGTGGCTTGCGGACCTTGCCAGATTCGAGCCCATCTGGATGTTGATCAACTTGCTCGTGTATGGTCTCCTGACATCTTTGGTGGAGAACTACTTGAATGCTACTCGATTGGGTAAGGTCCAAGCAACAGCACATGCGTCACAAGGACATCGCTGTAGGCGTCCAGCAGGTTTGCTTATTGCTTGCTTGTGGTGATGGCTTTGACGTGTTCAGCTGCTCACTTGCTAAGGTTTTCCTTGTGCAGGATTTCGACAACGTTCCAAGAGTGATCCTCGGGGCAGCCACTGCTGCGGCGTGCTCGTATTGGTTCAGGGTGTCGGGTGTTGGTACGGTTGATACATGTTGGTGTCATGGCTCTCACTCAGCCTCAGAGATTGGAAAAGGTCATGTGCTCCTTTGAGATACCGGTGTTCAAGTACATTGGTGACCTTTGGAGCAAGCGGGGCTACAGCTTGGTCTCGGTGCTTTGGGCGTCAGAGTTTGCCGTGGCCTCGGTTATTGTACACGAGGTGCTCGTAGGCCCCCTGAGTCTCAAGGCTCAAGGCTTAGGCATACGCCCCCGGTCCTGTCGGATGCCCTCCCCGACATGAACACAGGAATCATTTCAACAGAGCAGTTGTTTGTGTAGTACTTAGATGATAGTTTGACTTCGAAGTTGCTTCGCAGCTCGTTGATTCTCAGCACTAGCATTCCGACCAACATGAACCTGCTTTGCCCGGAGTGCGTGAGAGCCGAAACGTGCAGAAACCCTAAGCGTGCTTCCTGGAAGGTCATGGTGCTGCGCTGCCTGCTGTACGCAAGCCTACCACGAAGCCGGCCGCTAGTACCAATGGCACGGGCATGTTCAAACTAGACTGTAGCTGTTTCCGGAGCCTTCATAAGAAAGGCCCTAGCAGTATCATAAGAATCTCTGCGAGGCAGGTCTGTGGAATTCTGCGCGATTGTTCCTTGGATGTGCAAAATCAGCTCTCGTCACTGAGGCCGTGGCTGGTTCTTTTGGTAGAACCCTTGCATGGTCTCACGTTTGCGGGTGTTTGGACCGCAACGGTGGAATATGCGCGTCGTCTGGCCCGGACCGGCACAGAGACCAAGATGCAAGCACTTATTAGCGGCGCCTGGCCTCAGCAGCGTCGTAGTCGTAATCTAGCACCGGCTCAGTTGCACTGATACCGCTCTTCGTGGCACCGCGAGCCCTTCAGACCTAAACTTGTTTAAAAAGCTCACTTCAGGTGTCTACTTCAATGTCGCTTTCGCTATTGGATCTCTGATTTGGGGCTTCATCTCTCAGCTGCCTCCTGCTGGCCTCGGCTTCCGGCGCTCCTTTCTCTTGGCTGCCCGGCCGAGGTTCGCATCTAGTGAATGTACGTCATATCTATGCATATGTTTACATGCATGCATGTGTGGGGGCATAGGGCATGTGTATGTGTATTTACATACTCGCAGACACATGCACACACACTGCCAGGTGTATGTCTATGTATAGTATAGAAGCAGAGACACTAACGCAATCATCCTGGCAATGAACCCATGCCAAGTGTTGCAAAGCTCAGGATGCAGCCGTGGGATCTGTTTGGCTGATCCTGTGGGCGGCAGTGTACAGACTTGTCACCTCGCGGAAGTAGCTTTGGAATGCCAAGCAGGCATGACCAGGATTGCCCAAAGTGGCAATAGCTCTAGCATGCATCAAGGCTGCTTCCATGCACTCGAGAGCATAAAGCAGTCTGCAAGAAAGCATCTCAAAATGGCAACGTGCGACGACACTGAGATGCAAGGGCAGGTGGCCGTGAAGCCGGATGCACAATGAGCAGGTGCCCGTAATATGGATAGAAGGCACAGTTGAGACGTTGTCGCGGCACACAGTGGGCAGGAACTGCTTGAAGCCTTGCTGGGCCTTTTGGGGGCTGCAGTTGGAGAGGACTGGCCATGACTGTCATAAGAGAGAGAACTTGGGTGTTTGCAGACACGGCATTTGGAGCAGAGGAGCGCTGTCTGACTGCGGCTGGTCAGTCCCTGAAGGCGCGAGAGCACGGAAGAAGCCAAAATGAGCGAAACCATGAAACGTCGGTCCTAGTTTCGCCTGACAGGATGGTGTGCAGTCGGAGATATTTCTCCGCCAGATCCTACAAAGTGTCCCACTGCAGGAGTTGCAGTGTCGTGTACAGCTCCATGGCTCAAGCATCTTCACAAGCAGCCCAGACAGGCATGGGGATTTCTTAAACTTGGGGGGCAGAGGTCTATGTCAGTGTCCTGGTTTTCTAGCCGAGAGACCTGGGCTGCCCATGACTCTCATAAGCTTCTTTGGCCAAAACTGGCTGAGAGGCTATGCTTGGACATTGCCCGCTTCCCGCTTAAGGCGGCTGATTTAGAGAGTGGGCTCCCGCCTCAGCTGGTATCTGTAGCACTGTCCGTCTTTGAGGTTATCCTACTTGGGAACTGGGAAGCTCGCCTAGGCTAGATTTGGCGCTGTCGGCAGCCTGGAGCATCCTCGATTCTCGAGCTGTTCCCATCCTCCTGGAAGGAATTCTTCTCCTAGGCCGTGATTTCCGAAGTTGACTAGAGTTTTATTCCATGCTCTCGCAACGGAAGGCAACTCTGTCAATGCTTCGTCCAAGAACTTGGGTGGAGCCGTGGGGGTAACGTTGGACTCCTTGACCAAGTTGGCCCACACCCGGTGCTTACCAGCCAAGCAGGCAGGCAGCATGTCCAAACTCCATGAGCAACTCTCACAGCTGGCGATGCCTGCCTGACGTATCATACAAAGAAAATCACATGTTCTCAGCCCTGGCAGGCGGGAAACAAGAGCAAGAAGGCTTCTGCCAGCGTCATGGCTGCAGGATTCGGGCATTTACGCTTAGTGCTGCACTTAGACATGACTGCAGCAACTCTAACACCGAGAAACCTCGACTGTAATCAATACTGTGGCGCAACCGGAAAAACTGATTTACCAAACGACGATCTGGACGGTGTTCGCATCGACATCGATACACTGATCTGGCACTCACGGCATGTCTTTGAGGTTTTCGAAGCCCCCTCCTCCCAGCACATGTGTACACACACATATATATATATATATGCATATATATATATATATATATATATATATATATATGCTCCGATGTATAAATGCTACTGAGGGTACGAGGAAGTGTGCTGTGCTCGATTCTCTGCACTGCTGTACTTGTACATGGTCGAGTTACTCTGGATCTTACGGTAAGCGGACTCTCCAACATACCCTGCCTGGACTGGATGCTCACAATCAGATCTGCTGCTCATGTCGGTGAGGAGTGGGGGGAGACACTTCAGATGTCTAGGCAGCGTGCTGATTTCGGTGCAGAGCCTGGCTCGAGACTATCTGGATTCTTGCCGTAGCGATCTTGCTGGTGATGGGGAGCCTCTTCGTGTTTGCTGTGCTCTCTGCCGTTGCCGCAGCTCATGCTGAGCTCTGCTCCAGCCGAACGACAGCAGCAGATGTGGCCCGTGATGTAAACCTCTCCGGCAAGGTCGCTGTCATCACCGGCGGTGATAGCGAGTTGGGCATGCCTGTTGTCACTGCCTTCGCAGAACAGGGGGCAACCGTCATCATTGCCAGCCATAACTTGAGCAAGTGCACCGCACTCGCAGCGAAAGTGTCGCGTGAAACAGGCGCCAACGTGACTGGAATGCTTCTTGACCTGTCATCATTTGCTTCAGTGCGCTCCTTTGCCGCGCTATTCCTTTCTACCTTCTCTCAACTGCATATATTGGTGAACAACGCTGGGATGGCAGGCAACCCTACAAAAGCTACGGTGGATGGGTTCCAGATGCTCTTCCAAGTGAACTATCTGAGCCATTTTCTGCTCACGGAGTTGCTTTTGCCCGCTTTGCGACTTGCTGGTACGAGCGATCGCCCAGCACGAGTTGTGCACGTTTCAAGCACAGAGCACCGCATCGCCTGTGAGGCCGCTGGTTGGGCCGAGGGCTGCCTGGCAGACTTCAGGTACTTGCCACCTCCACCGGTCGTGCCGACGCGGAATGTAACCATTCATTACAAGGATGGCCGGGAGGTTCGACCGCTTGAGCTCTACGGCTTCTCGAAGTTCCTTCTTATGGAGCACGCAAGGGAGCTCTCCCGACGGGAGGCTCCGACCAATCTGCAAATTTTCTCCCTCACTCCGGGTTGGGTTAATACATCCCTGACGAGATCTATCAAGATGGACAGCCCTGTGGCCAAGAGAAAGTGTCGAATGCAGGCTGGATACCCATGTCCTTTCACACCCGAAGAAGGAGCTGCAATTACTACGGCCTGTGCTCTCAGGGCGACGGATTCTGGTGCCTACTACTCGCGGATCAATTCCTGCGAGCCGGATAGCATCGTGACTCACGGTTTCAAGCCTGACATGGGCCCGCTGCTATACGAACGCTCAAGGGCTTGGGCAAACGTTCAGCTGAACTCCTTGATAGTTTGAGCTCCAACTGTCAGGCTGTCGGCAGACTAGGTTAACTCGACCTCAGATGCCCTGGCTGCTACTGTCCCTATTTTTCAAAAAGTTGGAGGTCTACTCAGACGACCCCGGACAAGCTTGGAGTGTATAGCGGGCCGGCGCGACGGATTTGCGTCTCGCACAGCCTGAGGCTCAAAAGCCATGTTAAGAAACTGTCGTGATGCTTGATCACAGGCAGAGAAAGATGCGCAAGAGATTCAGCAACACAGCTCTGATTTCGCCCTTCGACTTCCGCCCATACTTTCTGAAACTGGCGAAGACAGCACGCAACTAGTATCGGATGTTGCGGATGCATGTCATAATGTGCGGATGCTTTAGCGTGTTTTAGATACTCATGCTAGCGCGAGAAGATGTCCTGATAGGGCAAACCCTGCCCGGGGAGATCGTGCCACGATTTCGAAGTCCATGGATCAAGATCTTTTCAGTGCTTGGTGCAGCTCATGAACGCAGACCAAGCACCTGAAACCAACAGATAAATCTTGTCAGAACATATGTTGGATGACAGACCAACACCTGCAACCAACAGATAAATCTTGTCAAGACATCTGTTGGATGACGGGGTCCACGGCCCTAGGACTACTGTTGCCCGCTTCTTGTTGTTTGCTTCCGAGTTCTCGCACAAGCCAGTGGACCGCACTCCGTTCGAGATCATCTTTGTTGCAACTGGGCATCATGCCAGCCTGAACTTGCCAAGGGGCAGAAAGCGCGCTTGAAGTGCTTGCCTGCCACCTGGACGAGGCATGGTGATGAACCTTTCTTGCCAGTTAAAGCTTGACCACCTGTTGATTTAGGGGACAATACCTGTCATCGCTGCGTGCCCATGATGCACACCCCTGGCCATACACAGTAATTGCATACATTGACCAGACCCGTTTCCCAGCAATGGACACGGAAGAAGCCCATCCGTACTCACAACAGAGCTACCGAAGTCATGACCAGGCAAACGAAGGTTTCATGAAGAACTTGGCTTCAGACTTGGACGCTTGTGGAGGGCTTACTTGACAAGTTTCATCATGCACAGGTCAGACTTGCAAGGGCTGAGTAGTATCGAGTATCGAGGTCATGCAGCCAAAGACTTTGACCGCACCCTAATGGACGGGTTGGTGCAGGCCAGATGTGAGCAAAAGTGAGCGTCTGAAAGCGATGTGGGCCGGTGGACTCGAAAGGAGTTGGCCACCCAGACCAAGCAGATGAAGCAGCCACTGGTCTTAAACCCATATAGCAAATGAGTGTCGCAGTTTTCGCAGTGATGCGCCTCATCGATGCCACCAGGAGTCTCCAGGCAGATACCACCTCGGCGCAGGTGGATGCTGGGCATTGAGGGACCCCTGAAACACCCCTGAAACGCTAAATCCTGCGCCTGGAGGCCGCTGCAACGAGCCATGCCAGGCGAGGGAGACCTTCAGAAAGGTAAGCTACTGTAGACTTTATTACCTCTTGCTGGGAGTGCTCGAGGCTCGGCACTTTCCTCGAAGTTGCGGATCCAAAGGTTTCGCATTTGCAGCCGCTTGGCCTACCTTGGAGATCTTTTCACGGGTCGGGTCGGGGCATCACCAAACACTTTTCTACCGCCTCTGGCTTCGCACACGTGGCCCAAGCTTTCTGCGTTCTGCTGCCTTTCAGAGCCTCATGGCGGAAGGTGATGCTTCTCGTGCCTGCTTGATTCTTGTTTGTGGTTTACCTGGATCTGGAAAGACTTCCTTCTCCCGAGCGCTGGTCGTGCAAGGAGGCCTTGGTGCAAAGTGGGTTCACTTCTGTTACGATGAGGTCGAGCAGCAAATGCGGTCTGAGCAGAGCAAGTTTGACCCCGAGGCGTGGCAGCAGGCGAGGGCCAAGGTGGCCTTGGATGTTCGGTCCATGCTGGAAGCCTGTTCTGCTTCGGAAGAAAGGATTGTGATTGTCCTGGATGACAACATGTATTATCGGAGCATGAGAAAGCGATGGTACCACCTGTGCCGCGAGGCTTCTTGTGCATACCACCAGCTTTTTCTTCAAGCCCCGGTCGATCTCTGCTTAGAGAGGAATAAGCTCCGGAAGCCTGTCGCCCAAGTACCCGACTTTTCCATTCAGCACATGGCCGAAGTCTTCGAGTGGCCTCCAGAAGCCGGTGGAACCTGGGAAGCTCAGGGCATCAGCACTTTCATCGATGCCAGCTCCTTCTCATCGGAAGAACAGGTCGCGAGCTGCCTGAAGACCTGGCAGAGTCGCCCAGACTTCTGGAGGCCTGTGCCGGAACTGCCGGAAGCTGTGGAGGAGACGCAGAGCGACAGCCATCACTGCGACGTGGCTTTGCGCAAGATTGTCTCTCGAGCTTTGGCAGACGTGCCCAAGGAGCACAGCCAACTAAAGTCGACCCTGGCCAAGCAATGGGGAGCCAAGAAGGCCGAAATATCTAAGAAAGTCGCTGCGATCAAGGACCAAGGACCGATTGTCACCACATGCCTGGGCCAAGATGTGTTTGCGCAACAGATCGAAGTTGAACGATGCCGGTCTCAGACCTTGACCCTGCAGGATCTTCAGCCGACCTGATACAGGAGGCAGAAGCGACCTTTCTGCAGTCGTGCATCTCAGATCTGCAAGATGCGCTTCGCAACGGTCAAAGCCAGACGTGATTTTTTGCTAGATGGTGGCATCAGGAAGAGATGTGCGAGTGCATCCTCGCAGTGAACCAGGGGTGACTTCAACAACGTCCAACTGCTCCCCGGACAGCGGCGTCCAGAGTTGCCGCAACAGGACTGGACCCAGTGGAAGACGATGGGAAACCTCGCCACTCCAACTCTTGTCGGCCCGAAATCAACACGAAAATCAAGAGTTCTGCCGTTTCAGAAACTTGACTGGGTTTTTCGTACATCAGTATACACCCATAGCTGTGGGTGTATTCTGGACTGTAACTGTTCGGGTGATTGATGGTGGTTGTGTAGGACCGTAGGACCCGAGCGCCTAAACCTTAACCCCACACTTTACTTGTAACTCCAAGTTTCTAGGCTTGCCCGGGTGCGAGTGTCGAAGTCCGGAGCATGAGCGCCGAAACCCGAAAAGTGCTTCTATTTGCCGCCCCCCCCACCCCCCCACCCCCCCATCGCTTTCACATTGTTCATTGCCAACCTTGGACGGAAAACCCGAGAAGCCCACCGCAGCCTCTACATAGCTCGAAACATGCTAAGGGATCTGTTGGAGGAGGTCGACGAGGAGTGGGGAGATTTCTATTAGCGAGTGCTGCGTCCTACTACATTCTACTACACCAATGCTGTATTGTATCATGTTGAGTTTTACCTTATCTTCTTTGGAAGCCTGGAAGGCCACGGAAAGCCTGCGCCAGTGGTTTGCCGAGCCTTCAACTAGCTCGCTGCACGACATGCTCAAGGTACTTAGTGCGCTCAGGCCGAAGAAGGGAGTGGAGCTGGGCCATGTTATGTACATGTATGCATATGTATATATTTGTAATTATATGTACATATGTGTGTATATACATATATATATATATATATGTCTCTCTCTCTCTCTCTCTACCTCCCTCTGTCTGCTGTCTGTCTGTCTGTCTGTCTACCATCCATCGATCTACCTATCTAGCTATGTATGTATGCATGTATACAAATGTATGTATCTATACAATGTATAATATCTATAGCTGAAGCAATGACTAGTGACATCTTGTGACCAGCAATCCTGCAGCGGTTTGGCAGGGACATGCTGCCTGTGGCAAAGCCAACTGCTGCAGTGCGGGGCTCAGGGACACACAGGCTCGAGAAGAAGCGTGTTAGTAGGCTGCAAACGGCAGCGCATGGTGGAGACGCCGAAGAGTAGCTCCTTCGTAAGCGCTGGACCGAGGATGCGGCCAACAGGTCACGCCTGTACCAGAATAGCGAGACAAGAAAGCGAAGGCTCAGTGTGCGTTCGTGAAAGACTGCAGGAAACATAATGCTCCTGTAAGAACCCTGTAACGGCCTTCTAACCCTAAGCCATCTAAGCCCTAAACCTGAAGTGAGTTCCCTGCGGTGCAACTTGGGTCCGCAGTTCTTTCCCAACATACCGTGGAATGCGGACTTCGGCCTTGCTAGGTAGGAGGAAAACCACCTTCAGCCCTACAACAACTTTTGCGCTCGTGCTGTGGCGTGTAGCAGAAACATTTAGAACATAGAGAAGCCTGGAAGGCTCCAAGAGAAGGCTGAGAAAGCTACGGAGAAGAAAGCTGCGGTCAGCCTGCACGTTCCAGAGACATCGCCAATCTCCAGAGATGAAGATCTGGCTATCGAGGCGACACCTGAGATAGTGGCACCTCGACATGACCCAGAATGTGGATGTCTTGTGCGGCCGTGTGCCTCTAATGACTGTATTGCTCGTTCTTCTTGAAGCTAAGGCAGCTGAGACACAGAGCAATGCAACAGTCTCCGAAGCATCTGAGCCTGAGGAAGCAAAGGCTGGGCAGTAGAATCAGAACGGTTGGCTTTTGGCGGATCGTAGTCCGAACTCAGCTTTCCTAGCGTTCGGCCGGCTGTACGGAGTTCAGTGGGCGTGCTCGTGCACGATCGGGTGACATGAAGTGGGCGACCGGTCTTCCAGGCACAAGCTGCGGAGCGCAGTGCTGGAGCTTCAGTGTACGCCCCCCTTGAGTTTGCAAAGCATGTTCATATATTTTTTTGTCAAGGAGCTGACCTCAAAACTGATCAAAGAAACGCCTCTGCCGCGTCAGGACAGCTACAGTCTCGGAGGCTGCTCCCTCTTCCGTGCTCGCGCAGATCCTCTCATTCCGCCAGGGCACCGTTTGGATTACTTGGCTCTTCGACTGGCCCCTTGGACAGCCTTGCAAGCCCTAAACGTCAACCTCTTCCGTACTAAAATCGCTACAAAAGCTGCTATGCCATTATGCTATGGTAGGTAGCCCTTGTAGCAACCCTAGAACGGCGGTCCATGGGCCTCCATGCACATGGGTGCCAGTGAGGCCTGGCAGCGTTTCTATGGAGGGCAATCGGAAGTTTTTCGAGATCCTGCAGTTCAACGCTTCTGAAGACACGCTGGATGTGAGCCTAGCATGCACTATTTCTACTCAGGATCCAATATTGTCAGGCAAACAGGCACGCTCAAGCGTCGGTGCGCAGTCGGCATTGCCAGCTGAGGAAGCCAGAACAGGCGTTGCAAAGGTGGCTTGGAAGAATTGAACTTTCAGCACCGGCTTGGCCACCTCTGCCAAGAGATGCCAACCGAAAAAGTGTTGAATCACTCTGAACCCTCCCACAGTCGACGTTGGGGGGATTTCCGCGATGTTTTGCAAGTCAAGGCCAGGCAATGCCGAGTTCCACTAGCAATTTGAGCTAATTAATAACTAGTCATGGCAGCCCACTGCTATGAGAGCATTTCGAACCTTTTCTCAGGCCACATGTAAAGACATTATATGTAGATCTAGACAAATTGTATGTATGCAGATAAAAGATGCACAGCTGGGTATGTGATTTGGGAAACACGTCGAAACTGTCAAACCAAGCAGACGACACGGCTCCGATCAGGGTCAGAGCCACCTCGAAAAGGATTCGAAAGCATCTCAGAAAACATGGTCTGGTCTAGACTCCTCCAGCAATGTAAGTAGTAATGCTAATATTCATATTAATACTCATGTTTCATGCCGGCTTTCGTGCTACTCGCTCCTGCAGAGGTGGAGATGCCAAAGTCCGCCCTTCAAGTTCGACGTGGCGCTGGGTTGCCGCAGCCTCATCAAATCTCATCAAGCAGCTGTGCGTTGCGAAAGAAAGTGGGAAAGAGCACAGGCCACCACACCTTCGCCGTGCGTGCCATGCTCCTGCCGTCGCTAGATCACAGCCAGAGCCCGGAAGCTGGTGCTCTTTGGGTTTCGGCCATGTCCTCCTTGGTGAAATCCTCAGATGTGCTCGCGGACTAGATCACCAAGAACAGTCCAAAAGCCTGGGTTTGAGTCCAGCGTGAAACCACGGGGGCTCAGGTCACCGTGGACTTGCGGTACTACTCAAACCGTCCCCAACGAGCATTGCCATCTGCTAACCAGGGCGGAGCACATGCTGCTGCCCTTGCGCTTCCTGCACCGCCCGTCGTATCGGAGAAGACTGAGACCGAGACACCTTCCCCTTGCCCTGGCCCCGGTTTCGGCTCGGCAGTGACCACGGCTCTCTCGAAGTCTCTGCCAACCTCTGTCAGTGTTTAAGTCTTGCAGGTCGCGGTCGCGTCGCCTCCAGCATCGGGGATTTCCTACAATCGCTGCAGGCCACTGCTGAAGGAAGCACGGTACCATACAGATTCTCAAGAATTAGCACGATCGGAATGCTTGCGGCCATGTGCAGGCGAGTGGAGGAGGCCAGACACGGCCGAAAGTCGCGCAAGATACCCTCACTGCAGAACGAGCCAGCTATGGTGTTTCCATATGTCGGACAGATCATCCGGGCTGCCAAGCTGTTCTCCCCTGCCAACAAGTACTACGCAGACATGACATGACACGACATGATTGTTTGCATGCTTACATGCACCATTTAGACGGATGCCTTTGCTCGTGTCGTGCTGAAACGAGCTACCGGGACTCTCGGCACTACGGGTGTTCACAACCCTTCAGCCGTTCTCGGAGTTCGGCAGTCTGTCAAAAGGGCTTGCGAAACACTGTGCAAGCCGTTTCCCTTGTGCCCTGCTGCAGTAGAAGTGCTTGCTATGTATATATGCATACTGTGCATGTATATAAATATATATACCTATATATATATATATATATATATATATATATATATATATATATATATATATATTTACATCTATTTATTTATTTATTTATTATTTTTCTTGTTAGCAAGGTAGGCGGGTAGATAGTCAGATGTGTTTGTGTAGGTCTATCCATACATACACAAACACATACATATCTATATGTGCATATATACTTAGATATTGTCTGGAGATGAAAGTATAGACATACAGACGTAACATGCATGCATGCATGTGATACATGTGTGGCAGGTGGCCGGGAGGGTGCGCGAAAGTGCATGTATTCATGTGTGCTTACATCTGTGTAATTCTGTGTAGATGTACATATCTACGTACATGTCCGCAGACACATACATACCCATTTACAGATCCGATTATCTGTTTGTCTATCTGTAGATGTACATATGTATATGTGTATTTATGTGTTTATATATATATATGTGAATTTATACATGCATCTAACAAGCACAATTACAATTAGTGTTACTATTATTATGCTTATTATTACTACTGTTATGATTATTCTTATTGTAATTATTAGTTTTGTTGTTGTGTGTTGACATGCATGTGAATCTATGCATGCCTGTACATGTATATGCACACATGTGAATGTGTGTGTGTGTGTATAAACATATATATATATATATATATATATATATATATATACATATATACATATATATATATATATATATAGAATTTTAGCGCTACACCGCCCGCTTCGGCTTGCCGGAGACCAGTTTGTGTAATGTGAAAGAGCAGGGCGGATGCAGAAGTGAGCAGGGGAGGGGAAGGGGGGGAAATGAATGCAAAAAACGGCTGGTTCGAAACTTTCGGGCTGCAGCGAGGAGGATTAAGCGGAGGGTACCTGAGTCAACCCCCGATACTCCTGGGCCTGTGGCCTCGGCGGATATGTGCAACTATTTCTCTATCGTTCACATATCACACCACAGCTTGCCCTGACACGTCTCACCTCGTGGATGATTTGATGTTGCTCTCACACGATGCTGCACGGACGATCCGTAGGTGAGATGATCAATACCGATGACCAGGATCCCCGCCGCGACGGCCCTCTTTTCGCACTGACATCTCCGCGCAGACCGTGCTTCCAGGACAGACAGGCCCGACGAAAAAAACTTGCATTGGCATGCATGATACGTTTAGTTCCTTTGCTTGCGAAGCTCTTGGACGGGAGAGCTCACGACGAGCTGGACAATGATGGCAGGCAGCCCTTCCAACCTTGCTGCACCCACTGCGCCGATTGCCGCTGTCCCGAGCAAGGCATGCAGTGCAAATTGCCTAGGACCTAGGGCCAAAAGCACCCGGCCATTTTGCAGGAAGGCGTTCCGACGAGTACTGGTGAGGCAAACTGGCAGGAGATCAGGTCGCCCTCTATGCAGTCTGCATTGTTCAGTTGAAGGCCTCGCCCGAGTCGCACGCCGCGAAATCCGAAATTCCGGCAGAGAAGGCCGTAAAGATGAAGCACACGAAAAGTCAGCAATGATGTGATGATTTGTTGGCAGTTTCGTGATTCGGAGGCACCGCCTGAAGTTTCGGGCGACTCGTGCGAGAAAGAAACCGAGCAGCTGAGTCTTCCCTTTGATGAGGCCGGAAGACATTCTTGCCGAGCCGACAAATGCATTTCAAGAGAGTTGGCAGGATGCCTTGTCGCCGCAGTCACTTCCATCCCGAGCCAGCGGGGAATCATGGGCAAGCGAAGCGTCACTTTCGGCGCCACGGTCGCACTTCGACCGATCCGAGCAGCAGTCGGGTGGATCAAAGCCTAAGACATGCTGGAAGTGACCATGATGAGTTGCCCCACATTCCGGACTACGGAGCTTAACTAACTAAACAGAACTCCGCCAGGGCATCCCTGTCAGTCGGACGGTTTCAACATGGCTGCAGCCCTGTCTTGCATTTGCTGCATGGAACCTCCGGAAGGACTTCGACTATGCGGACCTCTCCCGTTTAGCACAAGCTTTGCGATTCCCAGTGCCCCAGCAACTTGTCCTTGGGAAGTCGCCACGCTTCTTTTGAGCTGGATCTCACTGCAGATGGTCCTCGCTGCATGCAAGCGGATACAAACGTATTTGAGTAAGCGTTCAGGTCCAGCACAGCTGGCCAGACTCTTCAGACGGCAGCTGGGCAGTGCTCCGTACCTCGTGCCACTTCCCTGGCATGTTAGGTCGTAGTGGCATGAGCATGTGGCAGATCTGGTCAATGAGCCCCAGCATTCACCCACAAGCTGCGCACCTCCTGAGGCGAATTCCAACAGCGAGCAAGTGGAAAGCGTGGAAGAGATACTGAACAGCGTTCGAGAAGAAAGCCTTGACGACATCTCGAAGCAGACGGCTCAAGGCGACCCATATCAAGTTCGTCTTTCGCACACGGTATCTTCAATCCTAAATGCGCGCACCAAATCCCGTGAATCCCATATTCTCCCTCTTCCTCGCTCTCTCCAGCACGGCAGCTCCCTCGCCTGCTGGCTGGGTCTTTTGCCTTGCTCGCAGTTCCGATTGAGTCAACATGAATCTTCCGAAGGGTTGAATCACAGCATTTAGTCACAATTTAGTCCCCCAATACAGCGTGAAATGGGGAGAGGCGTCAGCAGGGAACAAATTGTCAGTCAAGCAATTTCGTTCTCCATACAAGATTCCTTCCATCAGCTTTGGGGCATGCCGGGCGCCTCAGTACGCCTCAGTGTCGCTAAGTGATGCCCTCACGTTTGGAGGCTTCGAGGCTAGATTGCTGTAGTCAGGAGGTGGAGGACAAGCATATTTTAGTCACTGGCTCCAAGGGACCTTACCCGTTCAAGCCAAAGAATCTCCTTCTTCGATTCGGAAAGTCCGATGCGAGATTGATAGCAAGAAGCATTTGCTGCAGTGTGACTAGAACTTGCTCCTTGAGCTTGTACTTCCTTTGTAACGTGCTGGGAATGGGCATTCCAGTATTTAAGAGGGTTCTCGAAATCACCACCACCAAACGAAGCCGATCCTGTGAGCTAGGCCAACCGACGATGTTTTGGAAGACCGCCGTTACTCCGTTGTCGCAATCCGCCTGCTGGAGTTTTCTGCTCGGCCTTCTTTCAGGCGATCTGAAGACATCCAGCAGCTTCAAGGTCCCGCGTGCAGCTCGATCCCAACTCCAGATTCTGCTTGCTTGGCTAACCTTGGCTGCAAGCTGCCAGACGCGGGCGCAGAGCAGAGCTCATGTCTTCGGCCTTTTGTTTGGAAGAGTAAGGCGGTTTCCATCTTCGATCAAGACACGCTGGACAGCATGGCAGAAGTGCTTAGCAACGTGCAGAATATCGACCGCAGCCAGCAAGTCGCAGGCTCCCAGGCCGCTAAGGGTAAAAGCGTGTCCAGATTAAGCCGCAAGCTTTGAGCCACTAGGGGCTGCTTCGCAATGCCGGCGTTGTGAGACTGAGGCTTGCAACCAAGTCTCAGTGGGGAGCTGCTGGACGGAGAAGAGGCTGCCGTGAACTGCCGTGCTTTCCCGTCGCGATCTAGCATTGCACGGTTCCTTCAGCCTAGCTTGGACATGTCAGCCGTGAAGTCCTGCATCCAAGTGACTGACAGCATCCTTTGTGCAGAAGTTTGTTTGCCCAAACGCTTTAGTCCCAATAGTTGCTACATATTTCCATCATTCGGTGCGAAGCACCAAGACACAAGACGACAGGCCCAGGATTTGGCTTCATCTTCCGATCCTTTAGATCGCTCCGAACAAGATCAGCATGACCAGTAATACTGCTGGCCACCACCATGAGCACACTCATCCTGTCACGATGAAGGTTTACCACGCGCACAAGTAAAGCAATGTTGCAACCTGTTGTAAGTGTGCCAAGAGGTCCTGGCTGCAGCACAGCGTGCTTTTCAGAAGCTCCAAGAGAAGCCATGCAGCGCCTGTGGCGGCACCGGACCGACTCGGGTTCTCATGAAAAGAGTGCTTCTAGCTCTTTGGTTCAATGGAGTTCGCTGAGGCCCAGGCTGCATCAGTATAGAAACTCTGACTGGTGACATGGGGCTACGCCATGCGAGGATATGTTGGCCTCTTCGGAGTCGCAGGTCGGAATCCTAGTCACATGTTGGGCGGGGGGGGGGTCTTGCGAGCCAGGATCGCTCATGTGCCTCGTCTCCTTGAGGCTTCGGCATTTTCCAGTCGAAATGCACGAGCTGCGAGACGTCGGCTAAGCCAACCAGCAGCTGATAAAGCGCTGCGTGCCTGCGTGCCAGGGTAGCTCTTGGACTAGCTGGAAACCCTTGCGCAGTAGTAGGTGATAGTAACGCAGATCGCACAACTTACCGCAACATTCCTACGATCCTATACTCTCTTCGTTCTGCATCATCATTGGCCACAAAGGAAACAGTCTGCTCTTTGCCAGAGATACGTCATAGTTACTCGTCGCATCTCTTTGCTTTGCCTCGATGTGCAGTTGCTGTCACAGAGTCATTCCTCCGACAGTTCATGATGCAGCTCAAAATGCACAAGATGACTGCACGCGTCGAAGTTTTGCTGTGCCCTCTAAGACACAGTCTACTTGCGGTTTTTGTTTGGATAGAGCTGGTGTAAAAGTACAAAGAGATGAGACAGCAGGGTGTAGATGAAGCTGTGCATCTGGATATGGCTAGGGCCGACTAGGAGCTCTCTCTCTCTCTCTCTCTTCTCTCTCTCCCTTCCTCATAATGAAAAATAGCGTGAAGTTACGTGAATATGCCGAATATGCACGGTCTGCAGCCGCATATGTTGTACCAGCTTATGGATGACAACTTGGTGAGATGCATGACGTCCCAACAGTGAAGTATCGCGAAGCATAGACAAGCGGTTGGATCGCACCGTGGGCCCGAAGTACCACAAGCCGCAGCACCCTTCTGCCGTTCACATGCTGCTTTCCTGATAGGCGCTGCAGGGCTTCTCCCTGGACTGCATCCAAGCATCTTCGCAAGCTGCCGAGGCCACTGACTGAGCTTAACCTTTGCAATCTGGTTTGTAGCTTTGGAGCCGCACCCCGAGTTTGACGGAGGCCTTCAGAGAGGGTGGCGACATGGCAGGCCTGGCCTCTGCCCTGCGAACGTCCAAGCCCAAGCTTGCGTTGCCGGTAGAGAAGCCCAAGCGGCACGTCTTACGACTGCCGGGTGAGGCCAGGCGTACAGATTCCAGCCGGCAACAGTGAAAGCTGCGCTTTGCGCTAAGGCTCGCGGCCGCGCATTTGCAAAAAAAGCTGCGACCCAAGAAGCGCTTGGTACTGGAGGGGTTTGGGAAGGAGGCTGGTTGCGCCGCATGCTTGCCTGAAGGTCTCCGCCACAAGCAGCTGTGGCGAGAACCCAAGATATGAAGATCCATCATGCGCGAGAGCGACCCATGTGTGTTGTAGAGCGTTTGCTGAAGCATGTGTAATAGGCTGCGAAAGAGTGGTGCCCTCAGCCTCAATGCCACTTGATTCAAGAACGTCAGCACTGCAAAACGCAAACCCTAAGGTCCGTATCTTTGTACAAAGACCTGGGGGACCAAACCGGCGAGGCACATGCAGCACCGAAACTAAAGAAGCATGCATAGACGCGGCTTCTTTCACACTCAGAGTGATGCAAAACTACCCGAGATTGAACTACATGCTGGGATATGCCATACCATGCTCCTAAATTTGATAGATCAATCTTTCCGCAGCGGAATAATGGTATGTTGAACTGTGTTCAAGGCCGTAGCAGATTGGTCTATATTAATACTTGTAGCTTTGCTGTGAGGGTGCTGCGACATTGTGCCTTTGACGGCACCGACCCCGTAATGCGACAGCTGGGACGGTGGCCCATGAACGGCAGTCTCGGGCCACTCCACAGGCTCACAGGGCCTTCAAGCTTGCTTCAGGGGTCCAGAACAATCCCAGCTTCCGTGTTCACGCGATTGCACCCTTGATTCGTCTTGTTCTTCTGAGTGCCCTTGTCGGGCTCGATTGCATCAAAGTATCATGAGACTTGTTGCTCGTATGCTTATGGCTACCGCATCGAACCAGAGTCCGCAGGGGCCCTGCGCACCGGACACGCCGTGCCATAGTTGAACCCCAGCATCATCATCTTCAACTTGTTTGCAATAGCCCATGATATGAGATGATGTTGCATTACGGCTTGCCAGGCCGACTCCTTGTTGCAGCTCGCCGTCGCCCAGCTTGAGGTGGGATCTAACATAACACATTCAGCGATACAGTAAAGCCCACCCACCGCAAATAAGTAATGCATGTCCTACAACGTACCATTCGCAAACATGTCATGCCTCCCCCTTTTGGTAGAAAGCCCCGCCAAGCAAAGGCAGAGCATCCGGAAGACGCCATGCCGACTGCAAAAGCCGCGTTGGCTGCCTCAGCATTCACTGTCAGCGTTGGCTCGCATGTTGCAGTCAGAGCTTTGAGCCAGCAAACGACGAGCTGCGAGCAAAGCCTAGTTTCTACCTCCGCAGTCCGGCTTCCGGTTTCCAGCCTTCTGTTGTCATAGGCACGTGTTACTGTTACTGAAAGCTCGGGGACCTCGATTCTCTTCTGCCCGAGCATTCCGAGGCACGACCTTTGCAAGAAGGTCTCGGACATGCGACGCTGCACACTCGCGCGTCGATCTTAGTAGCCCAAGAGCTGCCAGGATTCGCTGTGCTGACTTGCAAATCCACAGTTTCTCTCCTGCAGGCAAGAGTTGGTCCAGCTTGTCCGGTGGCCCAGTCGACACTGACACTGCTAGTTCATGTTGGAAGTTCATTGCCGAAGGCTCAATCATTTGACAAGCAGTTCAAGAGTGGCCTGTGGGCCCTCGCCTGAGACGAACAGCTGCAAAAGGATTGGCAGCTTTATTCCAACATGCGGACTTCAAGGCTCCTACTGGAAAAGGTCTTGCTGCGAAGATTGCAAGTGGTATCGGAGGCATGTTGTTCTTCCTGCTTTTGTGGCTTTGGCTGATGCTCGTACATCGCAACTCGTCCCCTCGTAAGACTAACTAAAGTCCTCCAGGTGACGAGGTGCGCCTACACAGATGGATCCCTCCGCTTGGCACTTAAATGCCGTGCACTGTGAGCGTTCTTGCACGGCCTTTCCGGTCATGATGTACAGAAAAGAACACTCCATTTTAAGCCTTTGCATCAAAGGCCGAACAGTCCAGAGAACACGGCCAGGGAGGCAGGCCTCGGATGAATCTTTCAGCAGCGGCTTTCCAGATGCAAGCTGCAAGCAAAATCAAGGAGCAGGGGCATAAGGCGATGCAGGACCGAAAGTTCGGCGGGAGCCCCAGCACATCTCAGCATGCCCAAAGCCTCCGATGATGTTTGCAGCCGTTGCAACGACGTGACGAAGGTGCCAAGTTGCCCTTCCAGAGAAAGTCCGAGCCTTCGAAGCCTTCTTTGGCATTCTGTGGCTGGAATTTGGGCGATGTCTTGTTCCACAGGCCCTTTCCGTGGGTTACGCCAAAGGCACCAAGACCTCGAGAGTTCCGGGTGCGAAGCGGCGTTTGTCCCGTAGCAGGAGAAGGAGAAGCCTGCCGACCCGGAACCTGAGCCGGTCGCCGTTTCGGAGGCCTTTGCCACGTTCCAAAACGGCACCCTTTGCTTCGCTGGACTTCGATGTCAGGCCGAAAAAGCAAAAGTCGCCGGTTTCGACTGGAGTTCAACAATCTCGCAGCCCGCACCTGTAGGAGGCCGGAATGAGACGCTCCTTGTGGAGTCATGTTGGCTTTTGATAGGTTTGGAAGGATACTGGCGCTGCGAGCGATGTGGCGTGCTATTCGAAGACCCTTCCGAGGGAGTTTCGAGCTGAGCTTCCCCGGCTTCAAAAACCTGTTGCTTGATGTTCAGGCACCATGTAGGATTGTGCTGGTAAAGTCCGTATAGTTATTGCAGACAAGACGAGGCTCGCCGGACCAGTTGTACCGAGCATGAGGGACTCTCCTGTATGGTAGGCACGAGCAGATGCAGATGGAAACTTTGAGTGGTTCTGCCGCAGCTGTGGACGCCTTGGTCGTTGTTACTTCATCCACACTCTTGAAGTGTACGGTGGTGGGGCCAAGTCGAGGTTGGCGGGACTGGTCGCGGCCTCGTGTAGCTGCGAAGATCGAGAGGGGAACCGTAGGGGAACTGCTACTTCACCAGGGTGGATGAGCACCTTCGGCGTGCCCGGGCTGCCAAAGAAGCAGGCCAGTAAAGACCTGCTGGCTGAATCAGGCCACGACGGTGCCAGTCTGCACATCCCAGGTGTCAGCACCTCGCAGCATGGTGGCAAAGGCCTTCGCAATGCAGTTTCGACACACAAGAACCGTCCGGCGACCTTTCACGCAGGCGGCGGGAGGGCCCTAAAGGCAAAGCCGACGGAACAACGCCAGCGGATGTCTGAGAACAGCTTCCTTAAAGGAGTTGAGCCGTATCGACTTGCTTCAGCACTTAGGACAGAGACGAAGCCTGCACGGCCCTTGCCAAGCCTGGGCCTGGGAGGTCTAGAGGCTAAAGATAATGATAATGATGGCCACGAACTACAACTAAAACTAATGCCATTGCAATGATAAGCCTATCAAAAAGCCGCGCGAGAGAAGACCTGAAACCCGCACGGACCCCTGCGCATGCGAAAATTCGGTTCATGGAGCTGTCAGCTGGCGATCACGCAGCAGACTTTGCCATGAAATGGCAGATTGCGCGGAAGCACGCGGAAGCTCTGCGGAAGCAATCGGTCCGCGGAAGGTCCCCCGGAAGCTCCACCTTAAGATACGTCACAGATATCCCAAAGGCCATCCCGGCAGGATTGCAGGCTCCAGGTCCTTGTAAGAAGCAAGTCATTATCAGCATCACCACCACGCTCATTGTTATCATGCATTTTGCCATGTCCATATAGTTGTTCACGGGTGTTTGCAAACCTAACCATAGTCAAGCGGTGATGACGAATAGCACATCTGCGTCATCATAATGATGATCATCATCTGCAAAACTTTTCAGGATGATAGGGGACGTGCGCGGAAGGTGTGCGGAAGCTCCGCGGAAGGTTAAACCCTAAAAGTTGATCCCAAGCCCTCAAGAGCTTAAACCGGATCTGGGATTGAAAACCGTTGAAAGCAAAGCCGCTGAAATTCCCTACCTCGAAGGCCTTAGACCCAATCATTGGAAACCGCTGAAATTCATTACCCCCAGGGCTTTAAACAGGAAGTTGGATTGGAAACCGAACGCAAAAGCCAAATTCCGTACCCGGATTGGAAACCCGCCGAATTTCCCCATACCCCCAAGGGCCCAAGGGTTTACAAGCCGAAGCCGAAAGCCACCTAAAGTTAGGCCTCTTCCGATGTGCTTGCTTGTGTCTTCGCGCGCTTTATGTAAGCTTGCGTCCTTTCTTGGTGGTTGAAGTTGTACCCGTGGTTTGCCCAAACAAACAGCCTCCTCAAGACTTGAGCCCCCACTTGCGGAAGCAAACCCCGCAAACTCGCGAAACAACCCTTGCGGGTGGGATCCGCGGAAGCGGTATGCAAATTGAGGCCCGCGGAAGCAAAACCCTCGCGCGCGGAAGGGAAGCATGCGGAAGGGTCCTGCGCAAGGGTTTCCTTGTTTCCATCCACGCAAACACGGATAAAAACCACAGCTCATGTTGAGAGCCGTAAGAACCATCCTAGATGTAGACCTTTATCGACTGCTTGTCAAAGCGCAGCCCTCAATCGCGTTTGCCACCTTCTTTCGAGATCTTTCGAGATAGAGGGGGTCAGGAATCGATCATGTGCATGGGCATGTGATGACTTGAGCGCACAGCTTGCAGATTGCGAATCGAACTGCACGTAGGAATGCGAAGACGAATGATGTGTACGCCGCAACACAGCCAGAAGCGACGACACAGTTCGTAATTTGTAGTCGAGAGGCGTGTACCAAATCTTCTTGCGTGACTTCCATCCTTAAACCCGAAACTCTAAAGTTACGCTAAAGTTTTACGCCCACCTTTGCTAGCATGTCAATGTCAAGGCCGGCAAGAGCTGCAGCAGCTGTCACTCATCGAGCGTCTTGACATCGGAAAGCCCAGTCTTCTTAAGACTAACGTGAGGGTGCTGTTATATGAGGTGGCGAAGATCTGAGTAGGTCCTACAGTTTCGTGTACGGAGTTCATCTAACGGATTCCCGGTATTGGGCGTCACGCTGCTTAGGGTCCATAGGTGCATATTGGGTACTTATTTAGGCTGTGTGGTGTGCATCTTGCTGATACCGTTTCAGGGAGGCCCCGGGCACTTTCGTACGACCAGGGATCGGGTTTGGATGCGTCGTCCTAGTCTGATACAGTGGCCCCGGCATTGGTCGATCGAGGCTCTTGTTGGTAGTTTGCTTTTTGCGGCTATTCTGATGTCCTGTCAAAGATAGGGTGCCTTGCTTGGGCGTCCTTATTTCAAGGCTCTCAGGTTTCACAACCAGGTCCCTTTTAGCACTCCTGCAAGTAAAACTTGTGTGTTGCGTTGTGCCCCCGTTTTACATGTGATAGTACCCTTATAGTAACCCTTATAGGGCCCTTTTAAAGGAACCCATGGTTTGAGACTCCCATCGAGCCAAGGCTCTACAAGCACGCCAGGTCTAGCGGTCTCAACCTCGGTCTCGGCACTTCAAAGCACGGGCAAAAGGGAAGGCTTTGGTTTAGAGGATCTTGGGTTCAGGTTTTAGGAATCGCGGTGATGTGCTTGGGGATTCTGGCCGGGCGAGCACTAATCGAGCCTGTGGAAAAAGGAATCGCGGTGCAGGGAATACCTTCATAGCTCTCACATGCTTTGCAGGAAGCTTGCACCATCTGAGGTGCAGATTTCAAGCTTCTCAGCATTGCTATGGACAGCCTAGAACTCAGAATCAGCAAGCTCAAGGGTCCTGAAGACGCTTTTGCTTGGACATCCTCCGCCTGGTGCCTGGAAGGCGACAATCCGAAGACGGGACTGCTTGAGCTGCTAGCACCGACGTGATTCTTGCGGAAAAATGTCGCCCAGTCTTACCACAGCATTCAAACTGGTTTAGCCTCAATTCTTGGCCCTAGGCTCCTTATGTGGCTGCGACAGATCCGGGTCTCATGAAGGGAACGTAGGGGACATATCTTGTATGGCACGTCAACCAAAGCCTAAACCGGCCTGAGGCTGTGGGCTTTCGGGTTGGAGCAGAATTTAGACCTGTGACATGCTCGTCAAGTGGAGACCGTTTCTCTTCAATGTCGTATTTTTTCCTGAATTGTGTCCAGCTTGTCGGACTTGACAAAACCTAAACTGCCATTTGCTCCAACTTGGAATGTGCGGCTGCTATCCCATGTTTGGGCTTGCGACGGAATTTTCCAGATACTTGTTCTCGCCCTCTTGGTCTACTTCCAACCTGTGTCCAACCCAGTTTTTCTGGAGTGCAGGACTCCAACTGCACCTGTATTTGGCATGTTGTTGATTTGCTCCGTTCGCGCTTTCGTTTGAACTACAGTACGTGTCTTCTCTCCTTCAAACACGGGGAACTGTTTTGGTCGTACTTGCTTGTCCGCACGCTGCTTGCCTATTTGTGTGGGAAGCCACAAGGAGGTGAAACTTGATTGGTTGCCCGGCATTCTTCCGCGCCCACCGAACCAGTTTGGAAATAAGACATTCGGGCATTTCAAGTTGTATTCTCATGGCTGCAGGCACAGACGCTGCAAAGTTCTTGCGGTAGTAGTAAACAGACATGAAAGACATCTCCAAGAACTGCATCGAAAAGTCATTTTGCTCGTTAGCACGCTTACAATCCATTTCGACAAAGACCGACCTTGATCTTATCTCAGTTTGCTCTGTTGCTAGGAAAGCAGTTGCTGCATCCGCCTCTTGTTAATGGATCTTGAGAACGTCGGCCATACCCTCTCCTGGCCGTCACAACCGTCCAGTATCGAGAACAGCGACAGCCCTGCACGCTTCTTGGTCTTTTAACGTTTGGAGGGCAGGAATCCCTGCACTGGAGTCGTAGTCAGAAATGGACGGAATCGGGGTTCGGGGTGTCCCTCCCCTTTGAGATCCGAAGCGGACCTGAGGCTTAGCCAGACTGTACAGCAATCTGGATCCAGCGCTCCCAGGCTGCACAATTCAGCAACTTTTTCGGGAGCCGAAGGTCTACGATCCTGATTACGATGCACAGCGAAGGGGCCAATGCATCGTGAAGTCAGCATACAGGGAATCCACCTATGTTGGCTTGCGGTGCTTGGAACAACCATGAGATAGGCCCGCGTTAGTCTTGCTGATGCCGTTTGATGCATCTCAAGTTCACGCACTGTACAGTGTCACTGCATGTCTCAGTTGGGTAAGCTTGCGAGAACAGGCACTCCATCAAAGAGCTTAGTGGCAAGCTATTGTGATTTGGAAGAGCCACGGAGCATCGGAACTTGTGATTTGCTCCTGAGGCTGGTTCGAGCCGTTCCACTGAGCGCTTGCTTGGCGCGCTGGGGACGCCCTTTCCGGAACGAAGATGAGGGCATGTTCCTCTGTTGCAAATTCGAGCGGAGGGGGGGGTTCTAAAAATTGTTATAGAACTTATAGAACCCTATAAAGAACCTGATTGAATTCATTCCCGCTCCTAAATCTGAGCCCAAAATTGGCTTAAATCTTGGGGACCTGCACCCTCCAATAATTTCTTGTGTGCTTCCTGCAGTGCGACTTGGTCAGCTGGGCGGGTGGGAAAAGTAACCGTACGGATCTGAACTGAGAACGTCAGACCAAGCCACTACAGCTTCGCAAGTGCAGATCAGACAAAGGGTCGACGTTGACACTTAAACTAGCATACATATCGAGGCCCGTGTAGGAATCCTCGCATGCATTGCGGTACACGAGCAACGGAACTGGATGCGTGGATGTTTGTGTGTTGCAGAGTTGGTTCTCTGCCCTTGGGAGCGTTCTTGTGAGATTCGCTGATTGTAGTATAGATGTGGCGTAGTCAGCCACGAAAGTTGAAACATACGCAGACCTGTAATCAAGCATCTCATGACTGTTCGAGTAAATCCTCAAACCACACGTGCCCTAAAACCCGAACGTCCTAAACCCTAAAAGCTCAGGGGACCCAAAGCCATGCCAGCTGGTGTGAGTCTAACAGTCCTACTTCACCGTAGACTTTGTTGTCCCATACTATGCTACACTACACTATGCAAATTCCAAAGACGGTGTGAGCTATACTATACCGCACGAAGAGGCTAGTATCTAGTACTAATACTGGAACTAGTAGTACTTCCATGCTCTTCTACTCTAAGTCTCGACAGGTCCGAAACGCTATGTGCACTCAGGTTCTCCGTCGACACGACGAACGATCAACTCAGCCAAAAGACTGACCAGACCCCCGGCCGCATGCTACACGAAACAGGGATCGTTATAAATGTATATGTATGTATATATATATATATATATATATATATATATATATATGTATAGGTTCAATGTGTGTATGTACATGTGTATATATATATATACACACATATGTATGTATGTATGTATGTATGTATGTATGTATGTATGTATGTATGTGTGTGTGTGTGTGTGCGCTGCTCACTTCCAATTTATGCATGTATGTGCTTAATTATTATGTAAGTATATGTCTCTATCTTGGTTTACCGTAGGTTATATGTGTGTTATAGCATACCATAGTGCAAGGTATACTGTAGTGTACGAAATCTAGAACACATGCTACAGAATATAGACATCACGTAGGTGTCGTTTAACTTTGCAATAGTATGGCATTAAGGTAGAGCCTAACATAGCATAGTATGATACGGCATAGTTTAGTAAAGTATAGTATAGCATAGCAGATTCCAGTTTATTGCTAAGAACACACACAGACACACACACACACACACACACACACGCTGTGTATTTGTCAACTCAGTAGCTCATCCCCGTCGCTTGCTTTGAAGATTGATGGTCCCGGCTGCATGACCGGATCTTGCTGTGTAAAAGGAATGGGCAGTTGAATCAACACTAGTCTGTCGATCACCAGTGCGACGAAGCCTGCAATTGAGAGCCCCCGCTGAGGATCGACAATTTTCTTAGCCACGATTGGGGTACCAGCCGGTTCCTCAAGGCACCAGGACAGGGGTTTCCACAAGCTTTGGAGCATGAACGGATCCTCCCGGTCGAGTTCACCAAAGCCAGTGTATGTATGGTGCAGTGCCGCTAGGCCCCCCCCCCCCCCCCCCCCCACCCCATGCTACGGTATCCGCCCTGCTCCCTGTGGTTCCCTGTGGTGTGGGTTCCCCCCTGCCCCCCCCCCACCCTGTGGTTGCGATCGGCTACGTCCCCTCCATGGTTAGGCGTCCGGTTGCTAAGGCTTTGGACCCTAGGAGGTGATACAGTTCCACTGAACTCAGACCGCCCTGAGCTCCAACGCCAATGATAGTGATGAATTTTATGCTGCTGATGATGATGATGGTGACGAAGATGCTGGTCATGATCCCCATCCGCGCTTTCCCACTCTCCTCCGGTCCCTGTCTCAAGAGTCCCAAGTGAAAATCATTCAAGCACGTGATCAAGCTTACTTTTAACGAACCCAACCGAAACTCGGCTTGGAATGACAACGGTTGATACAGTTTTCGCAAGAACATCAAAAGCATTTCGAATTAGATAAAGTAATGAAAACGCAGTGCCGAATCCCAGAACATAAGAGCAAAGGTACCACCAACAGCCACACTGGAAATGGCACATCAAAATCATTGTGCACAACAGCATCGCCATTCTCATTTGTGTGTTGAAGGGGAGGGGAAGGGGCCTTGTTGTTCCCTGTGTTGTGGGTTATCCTTCCCCACCCCGCCTCTGTCTCCCTTTCTTGTGGTTCCATGTGTTGTGGGTTATCCCTCGCCCCCCCCCTTTGCTAAGGCGAGAGGCCTGGCTTGGGGGAGCCTTGGCGTGGGGGTGGGGGGGGGGAATACAATGGAGGGTAGGGGGGGGGGCCGGCGATGCGGCACCATGTATGTATGTGCTGGCCGATAATTATGAGAACGTTGATGGTGTGAAGCCATATTCCGTTTCAGTTGGGCTAGTTAAGCGAAAAACGGTTGTTCTATTCTTCGCTGTTCACTACGACCGCTTTTATGTCCAAAAGTGCCCTTGAATAGATGGTCTTCAGGTGCTGACCCTACTTTGGATGTTCAACATCAGAGCCGCCACCGTCGCAACCTTTCTTATGAGTTGCATCCTTGGCTTCCTCCGCATCTTTTGCATCCGAGCTGCAAGGTATGGATCATAAATAGATCCCTGGGTCTTCTCAAAGCTTCATATGAATCTCAAGTCCCCAGCTCTCAATAGGTTGCCTGGTTCTTGAGTCCTCGCACAAAGGGAAGGGCACCATGCTGGACCATTGGCGCTCCATCTTGTTCGGCTACGCGACATTCGTGATTGTTCTCTGCTGGTGGCAACGGATCCAATCTCTCTTTGGCTTCAGGCGAGGGCAACAACATGGTGTGCTGTCTTCCTGCTTCGGGTGAATCAGCACTGAAATCTCAATCACGAAGTGAAGGGATTCGGCAGGAAAAACGTTTGCTCGGGGGCTTGCAGGCGCACGGTTTTCCTGGACAAGCTGTGCATTGCCCAGCACGATGCGGACCTGAAGCAGCAGGGAATCCTAGGTGCCCAGATCGTAATCTTGCAATCTTTTCGTTCGCTCAAGGTTGCACCTGACCCGAAACCCTTCTGAGAGCTATGTAGGGACTTGCCCTGCTACATGCGAGCGTGAGCGACGAAAGCCTAACTGATTGCTTCAAAGGAAGAGGCTGATGTGGGTTTTCGGTGCCCAAAGGCTAGGGAGACCGACGGAGACTCCGAACTTGCTGTGCAATGTATCTATATATACATACATATACTTACTTATATAATACGTACATAATCATACATACATGCATGCATGTGTCCCTATATGCACATATGTATAATACTTATGTTACTTATGTATATATACAGATGTATATAGATGTTAGTTTGCCAATATTGTTACGCATAATGTTTGTTTTTGTGGTTTTCGATGTATACATTTTGTATTACGCATCTGCACTTGTACTCACATTTTGTATTACGTATCTACAGTTGTACTTACTTGTTTATTTAGTTATATACATACATATACTTGCCTGCATTATACTATCATGTATGTGTGTATAAACATATATATATATATGTGTGTATATATATATGTGTTAACAAATATATGAGCCGGTTTATGTCATGTTAGTTCGAACAGTGCGTTTCTTGCAGCCGCAACAAGCGCCCCCAAACACAAAAATGCTTTAGCAGAAGCGAAACAAGGATTAGCCGGCTTTCTGGAGAAGTCGAACACGCTCACGATTCTATGGACGCCACGTTGGGCAACCCGCCTTTGGTGCACGTGGCGTGGCTTTGAGGAGCCAATGAAACTCTTCGCAGGTCGTTGGAATTTCGAGTTGCTTCAGGATATGCTCCAGGAGGTTGAGCAGTTTAGCAGAAGGGCATGCTCCTGGGACGAGAGATAGCTTTCGACTGGCGCTGTTACATGTGAACACCAACAGTGCAAACAGAGAAATCTCAAGCCTCGAGTCAAACTCACCCCAGCGCTCTACCTGTTGTCCTGGCAGTTTGATTTGTTGCTGGCTCAGAGAATCTCCATGCTACTACGCTGCCATAGATCGATCCTGCTGATTCTTTGTATCGCGATGTGGGCGGCATATTTGGAAAAGGGAAGCCCAAGCAGTCTGAGCTAGCAGTGCAAGAACCTTGCAACTGTTCCTGAGCGGTGCTTTCCGGAGTAATCCAAGAACGTGTCCGAAAAGGGCGAGTAGCGAGCCTCTATATGTAGAACACTAACTCCTAGGATCCTTCTGGTAAGGACCCCGGACTCCTAAAGTGGGTACCCCACTTCAAAGAAAGCCCTCACAGCTCGAGAGGTACGAGTTGGCAGCCTTCATGCAGCAGTCGAACAAGCCGATCGAGCTCATGCCAGCCATTGGCTCAATATTTGGAAGTTTCCGAAAATGGGTGGTACGTGGGTACCTTATTTGGGGGTCATTAAAATAAGGTTACTACTATTTAGGGTATTATAATCAGGACTTGGTATTAATTTATGCTGAGGGTTTTTATTTTTATGCTGTGCAACTTCCCGTCTCCATTGACCTCCATGTCTCCATCCCATCTTCGATAGGCTTTGTTCTTATGCGCATGGAGTCTCCTTTTATGCTTGAGTTTTCTCCTTTCTATTTTTATGCCCATCTGACCTTTGTTTATGCGGCCCCCTTTCCTTGTTATGCTTGATGGGCCGGCTGGGAGGGTGGGCAGGCGTGGGCCCCATTGCCCCTTTCCATTTTATGCTTGAGACTGGTGTCAGCTTTACGCCAATCTGACTTTTCTATGCGGCCCCCCCGCTCCCCGTTATGCTCCATGGGCCAGATGGAGGGGGGCGAGGGGCTGGGCTCCATTGCCCATTTGGGCGAGCCTGACTTTTTTTATGCTCCCCCCCCGGTTTTTGTGGATTTCCGGGGTTCTGCTTCCACAACGAAAACCTAGGTTTTGCATAGCTATGGCAAATATGGCTGAATTTTCGAAAATACGTTTAGGATGGTTCTTTGCTACCGAAGTTCGCCTTTAAGCTCGGAAACCCTCAGCATAAAAATGATAACAAGTCCTTTAGGGGACACCAAATAATTAGTAGGATCCTTATCATAAGAACCCCCAAAGAAGGTACCCCCAATTTTCGGAAACTCCCATATGTGGAAGCTCGTTCCAATAGCAGGAGACAAGCCCGCCCTGTCGACTTTCCCCTCTTTGGACCCGGCTAAACCCTTTTGCTCGAAAAAAACATGGCCTGCACTGACCTGCACCAACAACCGCCCCCCCCACCCACACCACATCCCCACACCACCCCTCCCGCAGCCCCACCCCACCCCTCCCCCCCCAACCCCCACAGCGCGCAGCGCCAATTTCTCACCACTGCGCGTGTGGGACACCCCACCTCACCTCACCCCACCCCACCCCACCACTCCCCTCCCTCTTGCCCCTGCAAATGGTCGTTCCCCAATAGCTTGATGCAAAACACCAGCAAAACAAGACCCTGCAAATGTTAGTTCCCCAATAGCTTGATGCAAAACACAAGCAAAACAAGACGCTGTGCGAACGGACCTCGATACCCAGTCCTATTCTGTGGTGTCACGATAAGAGCTATGAGTTCTAACATGTACAGCCAAGAGCAAGGGAACGTTTCGGTACCTTGTCTCCAGGTGTTAGCCTGTGGGCAGGCTTCCTGTACCACAGTGCTGCACTATGTTCATTATCCCGCCAACGCAACTTTGGCTCAAGAAACTGATGCCATAAGCTCAATATAGCTTATCGTCTTCTGTGACCTCTTCGAGGAACAAAGCCATCCCGCGCACAGACGACTCATCGCCATTCTGGAAGGAGAAAACAAGGGAGCTCTGAGTCTGCCTGCCTGGGATAAGGGTCTGGAACGTGGAAGTGGAGGTGATAGATTATCGAGTCTGTTGAAGGTGAGCGACAAGGGACAACATCAAGATCAAGTCCCCACGCACGCTGCAAATGGTAATTCCCCAGTAGTTTGATGCAAAACACAAGCAAACCAAGACCCTGCAAATTGTAATTCCCCAATAGCTTGATGCAAAACACAAGCAACACAAGACCCTGCAACTGGGTAATTCCCCAATAGCTTGATGCAAAACACAAGCAAGCCAAGACCCTGCAAATTGTAATTCCCTAATAGCTGGATGCAAAACACAAGCAAAACGAGCGAGCCAGCTTGGGAAAGCAAACCTGGGCGCTGCAGACTTAGGGAAAAAACCCTCCGCCTCGAAACCTCGGCCGCAAGAGCTCAGGGTCTCGGCCGCTACGGGTGTTGCTGTTACTACTCCTAAGCGACGACGACGACACTGCTGCTGCTACCCTAACCCCTAAACGATGACGATGACACTGCTGCCGCTGCTGCTGCTTACGATACTACTACCTAACGAGCTAGGTTTGTGAAAGGAAAGGCTAGGCAGCCCCCCCCTCCCCCAGGGAGCATAAAAAGAAGCTTAGGTCAGCATAAAGGAAGGAGTCACAGCATAAAGAAGACCCCGGTCAAGCATAAGAAAAAGCAGGTGTAGCATAAAAAACACAACCGGCCACGGGTCCAGCATAAGAAAAAGCGGGGTATAGCATATGAAAAAATTCGGTGTCCCTATAATAGGGTCCCCTATTTTCAGAAACCCACATTGTTTTGCTAGAATATGGTACCATGATCCTCCGCTCCACATATGGAGCCGTTCACCTACACGTCAAACCCCATACATTGCACGAGGGCTGCTTAGTGCCCTTTAGCCATCTTCCTGCACAACTTCTCAAGCCAGCATTTCGTCGTACATTTTCACATGCACAGGCGTGGGTGTGATTGGGTTATGGCTTTTTGTGTGACTCTAGTAGTTGACTGTCGAAGAAAGGTGAGGATGGCCGGCATTCTGCTGATGCAGTAGCTTGGATTATTTGGAATTTCGTGTCCAAAGCTTTTAGGCGCTGGCCAAAAACCATGCCTTCAGCCTTCAGCGCACCTGCCCTTGCCGAGCTGGCCTGGAAGACGGACGAAAAGAGCATGGTCAAGCCCCTGTATGTTTCATAGTTTGTTCCACCTTGTGAATGCGGATTCTGCATGGCTAAGTGTTGGCTTTAAGAGAGATACCAACTCGCAAGGAAGCAAGAGAATGATTGCTTCATTGCGTTTGAAAAAGTCGGCCGCCGGCAGAGGTGATGCTGGTGTCAACAACGACAGTTCAAGGCTGAAGGTGCTACAAAAGTCAGAGCTTACCACATCCTGCATGGATTCAAGCGGCAATGAAAATGAGGTGTGGTTGTTGGACGTCGATCTCTATTGCCCACGCTATTGTGGCCTCTGGCTCTGACGACGGCCAAGGCCTGGGGAGTACTGTCAGAACTTCAGGGACAACCGCGGTGCTGCAAGATTCCATCGTCCTTCTCAAGCCGTGCGCTGTTGCATGATCTCAGTATCCAAGCCACTTGAGCCTTACATTACATATTCTCGACAGGGATCGCCGCTACACACCTACAGTTGAGGCTCAGCTGTAAGATCTGGACCTGAACAGGACTTGTCAAACTCAAGACACTGTACCATGGCTTGTTGTGGCATGTTGGAAGCACAGTAGCTCTGCTAGGCCGGTTGTTCCACACCTGTTAGTACAGTAAGCCATGAATACCGGTCGGAAGAATCACCAGCATTGTCATGCTGATTCATGTCATTGCTGAGTTTGGTGGTTGCCATTTTTCTCAATATTGCCATTACTGTTCTTGGTCTCATTACTACTACCATTAGTAGAATCATCAACAGGAATACTCGTATGACTATTGCTGTTTTTTCGTGATAGTAGAAGAAGTGGTGCTTGCCAGGTGATTCTGATCTGGCCGCTCATCAACTGACACTCATCCGCCTGGGAATCTTCACTGCCCCTGGGACTCCAAGGTCAAGAAGACCTCCTCAGCTTTCCGGGGAGAGTCTTGGACCCTAGGAGCTTTGGGTTCAGTCAGGCACTGGGCATCAGTCGAAACGTAAGATGGTGGGCTACATGGGGAGTTAGCCCAAGCGCAGTGGCAGCACTAGTAGTACGAGAGTGGCAGCACATGGAGACGCCGAGGCAGAAGGCGGAAGGTCGCAGTTCGGGAATCTGAGCTTCACAGCCCCAGCAGCACAACCATGCACTCGATCGTAGTTTTGTTCGGGGTTTTGGACCGAAACCTCGGAGCTGCGGGCGGTGACGATCGGTAGAGACTCTTCCGTGCTCTTGAAGTCTTCGTTCCATTCGGAACGGTCGGTAGGGCCTCGTCTCTTTTTGCAGGCGATCGTGGTGGCTCTCCTTGTTTGGATGGTCCACACGGGCCTGTGGTTCATGAAAGAGCTGCCCGGATCGAGGATGCAAGGTGTGCAGCGCAGGGCTTTAGATTTAGGGCTCTAAATATGTCTACACGCTACAATAACAGCGGTTTGGCAGCATGACAGACCACTGCCACCCTTGCCAAGTCAGAGGTTGCTGCATTTTAGTTCGGGTTCTCTGCACTTGAATCTGGCCCGTATTGTCCTGAACCAGAGACAATCAGCCAAGTCATTTTCACGAGTCGAGGTTGGCCGAGCTGCCAGGGCAGCTGAAAGCCTTTCGGATACAAGATGTGGCCTGGCTGCAGGTGTGGATGATTCTCCCAAGCATTCCAGAGCTTCAGCCCCTAAGAAAGGCGGCGCAGCAGACAGTGACATGCGCCAGTTCTACAACGCCCTTTCTCCTGCCGGCAGTCGGTCCTCCGCGCGAGAGAGACATGTTGATACCTCTTCGCTCAGAGGCCTTGCCTTGACAGCGAGGTGAGAGCTTCCCAGAAAGCTCCCCTGCTCCCGAGGCCGCATGCTACTGCTGCGCACACGGCCACCGTCATCCAAAGACGGGGGCAAAGATTCCTTGTGATCGAGAGTATGCCCCTTGACAGCTATTGTATCTCCTGTTGCAATGGTCACTCGCTTATGTGCTTGAGTCGAGACGGCTTGATTGAAAGGAAGACATATCCAGACTTCCGAGTTTTGATCGGGATAAGGACAGGTCTATCCAGGAGGGGAAGTTTTCATCCCTTGCAGCAACCGCATTGGGCGGGTTTGCGGTGCGGTTTGCAAATGTTTTCGGATGGCAGCATGTTTCCAGACTTTCTGCACTCCTGGCGAAGGTGTACTGGATGATTCGAAGGCCGGCGAGCAGCAGATACGGAACAAGAGAGCTAGCGGGATTCATCCAGGGGAAGATGTCGATCGGCAGACCACGGACAGGGGCGCACAGCTAAATCTCCAGTCTGCATCACTGACTCCAGGTGGTTTCATGATCCAGAAGCACCGGGGGAGTCGAACCTGGATGCGCCACACAACTGCAGAAGCTGGGCACGGGATGCGCAGTGGCGTGGTAGGGAGGTGCTTTTGTGCCGGGCTTGGGTTCGCGGTTCACGCATGCAAGCTGGAGCAACTAGATGCTCCGCATACGAGCTCAGCACAACCACCGTTGGAAGTCCACCTCTGCGTTAGTACGGATGGCAAATCACATCCGTTTTTTCCCAGAGCCAAGCATGAAGTTTAAGTGGAGATGTTGCCTCAAGTCCTCACGGCTAACGGCCTCCCTGAGTAAGCTTACGATTCAGTTCCCTGATGGATGCAGGCCCGAACGGCTCTCCTGCCCAAGGTTCAATGCCCTGGTGAGAGAGCAGCTGGCACCGGTGGTGCTCAAACATGCAGGCCGGCAAGCAATCGGGCATGTCCTGCACAATTCAACAGGCAGTCTGTACCAGCCAAGCAGGCAACTAGATCACAACAACCTTTCAGCTTGCATCCAAACGGCGAGTGGAAGATGATTCTCTGGGTCCGGGAAAAGCTGTGCAGCTCATTGACCCGATGTCGCTGCACTTTCCAAATAACAGCTAGCTGCATTCGCGGTTACAGGAAGGAACATCGACGCCACACCTGGGCTGTAATGGGACGTCCCGGCTCACTGCGAGTTCTTAGCTGAGAGCAAACATGGGTAACGGAGCCGCTGATGGATGAGTCTCGATAAGATGCCGTCCATGTTGAGATATGGACGGAAAGAGCCTCGAAGTCACAAGTGAACCCTGGCCAGTAGTGAAGCATCGCCTTGTTGGAGCCTTGAGGTGGGAGCACGCTGCCTTTGAGTTATGCCCTGTACGCCTGTGCCGCCTGCAACTTGCCCTGGCTCATTGACTACATTCCGTGGTGGGTGGCTGCGTGCTATTCAGGCCTGTATCAAGCCAATCAGATGTGTTTTGGTGATGTCCCCGACACATAACAAGCTTTCCTTTGCTGCTGCACACTCCCAAGAGCAAGCCCTATAGGGCAGTCTCCGAGTTCATGATTTCTGAAGGTCGGGAGTCTTCCACTAGAGCAACCGGGGAGCCCTAGGCCCACATGAAAGAAATGGCCGGCTGCAGTGACATTAAAACGGCTTAGACGGCTGTGTCTAAGCTGCAAGAACTCCAACCCGGACAAGTCCTCTCCACGAAGAGTTTCCGACAAGAGAGACGTCTGCAGAATCAGATCTTACCACGAGGAATGCCGTCGAGTCTGTGCATGAGGCTTCGACATTTTGTTTGTCTTAGGATTAACGCGTGCGTCCGTGCGCTTAATGAACAGCTCCGTGCCGTTGAAGGAGAGAAAACTGGCATTGCATTCTTTTTGTGGTGGCTCCGCGGCATGATGCTGTTCCTTTACCACGCTTTCCTGCAGCTCGCCATGCCGCTCGGTGGTCGTGGGAAAGTTAAGTGAGGCTTGGAGGTTTACAGGATGTCTTGGCACGCCCTGCCTGTTTGTACTACTCGTACAAGTCGGCTGCTAGATGCCAGGTCATGCCAGCACCAAAAACCCCCAAGTCATGAGTCAGGATGCGCATCTGCACGATGATGTGGAAAGCCTTGCTGCCACTGGCAGACCGGATCTGGCGCTCTGTCTTGACAACGGTGCAGGCCGAGTGAGCCCATGTTGGGCTGCCGTGACTTTTGAAAGGATATGCTTCTGGATTTTCGGATTCATGAAGCAGTGCACCACCGGCCAGTGTTCAAGCGCCAATGTGAACGGATTATAAGGCCCGTTACAGGGGCGATGTTTGCTATGCTTCGCCTTACCTGAGCTCTTGTTCATATCATTCTCTGAGAATGCCTGTGCTTGCACGTGATATTGCAACACACTTGCTGCTGCAAGACTGGCATCGATTTCCAATTCGCTTGCTAAAGGGAAGCGTTGCACTGATTAGCCCCCTGAAGATTTTCATGATGCTCATCATCGCGATGCTTCTGTGGCTGGCGTTTCGCATTGTGTACCAGGCCATCTTTTCTTTGTCTCCCGACAAGCACCAAGTGAATCAAACATACTATATCATGCCGGTGCTGAGTGCCGTTGCAGACATTCGCTGAAGCCAAGCTGCATGACATGAAGGTCCAGAGAGATGAAATGTTTGCCTCAAAAGCTGCGCCAGCAGGTCACGGACAACACGAGTCTGCTGCCTGCCGTGCCCTTTTTCGCTCTCGTATCTCAGCTGCAGCCTGTGCTGACAGTATCTACTCTAGAGGAGGAATTGCAACGTCCATAGCGGAGCTTGTCCATGAGCTCCAGCTTTAGCCTGGCCTCGGCATTGCTGGCCCGTCCCGAGCTTGTGGGGATCGCGTGGGTGCATGAATCAAGTTCCACGAGGTCATTCTGGACATCGCCCTTTTCTGGCGATCTGGAGAGCAAGTTCCGGCTTCTGACAAACCAGATTATACAGAAGCAGGTCGGATCTTCAGGGCCAGCATGCCTGTTTGGGATAGAATCATAACCTCCCCTACGCCCTATGCATGTGCTGCGATACGCCCCGGAGTTTCGATTGTGGTCTGCAGAAAGATGCTATGTACTACGCGCGAGGTCCGTCTTCGTCCCATGCCGCAGAGCCTGAACCACATGATGTCGAGAAGAAGGCTTCAGCCTGGGGATTGATGCTTTTTTCGGCCTGCAAGGCTTAGCATTCCATCATGATGCCTTCACTATGCATGAGTTTCATAAAAAGGGGCTGGCAAAGACACTAGATTGAAGCCCTAAGCCCTACATGATGGAGCAGAAATAGGCCTCCCCCAAGCAAAAGGATGTAGCCTCCGAAGTCCTTTCCCTTGAGCTTCGCGAGAGATTCAGGCCGAAGATGCATTAAGGACTTCCGGTCATTCCGGTCACACCTTCGCCTTGCACATTGCCAAAGAGGAGCCTGAAGGGCCGCTGGTGGAAGTGAAACTTTAGACAATGAAAAAAAATCCTTCTCCGAACAGGCATAAAGCCACAAATGGCTTTGGGAAGCTAGGAGAATGCTTCCCAGTCACGTTTCACAAGCGCTTTGCTCGTACCACTTGTGGACGGAGTGTACGAAGCTTTAATTCTCTTTTTGCCGAGAGGGTCGGTGGCCTCAGACCATTATCCCTGGTCAACAAGATCGTGACTTGGCTGTCTAGTTGACCTCCTTTTTACGGCGTTGCAAATCAGACCCGCTTATTAATACAATGAAGGAAAAAAGAAATCCGGACCAGGGGCTTTAGTCTTTCACTTTTTCTGCCTTTGAGAATACCGTACAGGATGCCCTATAGATGGCACTTTGAAGGGCTGGTTGCTTTAATTCGTTGTCAAGGTCCCTGCAAGGCTTACATACGAGTTCTTTGATCTTCATATTCGGCAGGAGGCGAATATCAAATCGAATGTAAAGATTCAACTCATCTAGATGGATGGTTGTCAAAAGTGGGGTGGTTATTTGGATATTAAGGACCTAAAAGGAATCCTAATTTTATCTATCACCTCTATATATATATATATATGAAATATCTAGGATCTCTGAATTGAATTAGCTATTTTTCTATACTATATCAAATATCAAAAATTCTGTAATCTTGATTTTTCGCTCTCCGACTGGATCTAAGATTATAGAAAAAATATTCTTGGATCTATGGCAATTTACGAGACATGAATTTAGAGATTGAATATATTTGAATCCTTAAATCTGTTCTCGAAAGATACGAACGGACTGCGATGCCTTGTCAAATTCTAAGGTGT